TGATTGACAACGGTGTTTTTTTCGAGCCTCGCGCCGCATATTATTATTATCCGCAAGATGGTTATTAATAACTAATCGTGATTTTAAATCGCTAATCTCCACGTTAAACGGGAAGGTCACTTTTTATTTTTCGGATTTTTTTCCCGCCCCGTTTGGCGTTTATAAATAGTTATACTCGCAGGTATACGGAGATGTATGATCTAATAATTATCAAATTAGTAGGTAATCCTTGATCGGTTAATTCGTTTTGGTGATGCGAAGATTACACCATAATCGATGCGTTAATGTTGCTTCGGAGGTGCGCGTTTTTTTTCCTGCTATAAATCCGGCTGAAAAAAAACTGTCAGCCATTAGAACGGCGTCCTTGAAAGGATACTGTGCTGTTCTCATCGCCAATAGCAACACGGAAAGCTGAAGTGTTGGGTTATATAGCACAGCTCTCCTGTGGAAGTTTCTTCGAAAAAGAATCTCTGGTTCTGATGGCATCTCTTGTGGTTAACCGTATTTGGTTTTAACATAGCAGCTATTAATCAAAATTATTCTATAATAAAAAAATCAAGTATATACGGTAATCTGATTATAATATTTAATCATACAATGTGCTTCTGACCACTATAAATTTAACACTATGTATTTTTAAACGGGTAAGCTAGTAGATGAGTGCAGATATCACAAATTTCTTGTGAATCTTTCGTCCTATTTTTAAAAAATGGCCAATATCAAATTAGACAATTTTACAGAAGACTATTATAAAGAACATTGTGGTTGAATCTGTAATAAGAACCAACCTTGCAAAAAGTTGTTCTGTTCACTCATACGCCACTTCCTGAAACTAGGGAAGATTTTTGTCATTGTACTTTAATTTATAAACATGCTGGATTCAGAATAGAATTACGAGAATTATCGTGCATGAGAAAATCGTTTCGCAGGAATAAAATAACAACATTGATATCACTTTTTTTGCAAAAACTTTAATATCCCCAGAGTTTAAAATTATGAACCCAAAGCAACTCTTAATAATTGAATCAGGAAGTGATTCTAGTAAAGTAAATAATGTCTTTAATAAAAATTGTTTTAAATTGTTTGTTAATTGTTCTGTTATGACTAATCTGTACAATTTTTATTGAAACTATATTAATTACAATTTTAGCAAATGGCCCTTATACAGAAGAAAACCACCACTTGACAACGTCAAGTTGCTTAGCTCATATTAATGTTGAAAATGCTAGTTATTTTATTACATATATTACGAAAAATGGTATATTATGCATATTATGTGTTAAACGACAGAATAAGAATTATTAGTTCTTCAGTAATCATAATACCACAAAAAAATCACCGAAATGAAAGCACTGAAAGCAATAAGCACAAAATACTCATAATAGACGCCAAGTCGCCGTGTACCGCCAACCAAAATAAGGCTGAAAAGATGGCGGACGACGAGACTCGAGCGAGACCGGCACGGCACGACCGCGAGTAGTTGCGTCATTGGTTGCAGCCGAACAACAGTATATATTATTTTTACGTTTTGGTAAATTTTTCATTTAGATGAATCCGTATTTTCTGTAGTATTTTTATTAAAATAGCGTTTTTTGTCTCGTTGTTGTCCAAAAATAATAAAAACAAGTTGATTTTAACGGTTTGATTCCGTTTTTTTTAGGCCTTGCCAACACTGACGCTGATGTAGATGTGCACAAAAACGTTGCCAATAAAATATCTCTCAAAATACCACCACCTTCTCAGTTGATCAAAATGTAACTTTTTATGTTTCTATTCTAATATCCTCAGGCCATCTATTTCGAGGATGTCTGTGGTATATCGTGTACAGTAAATCCGCAAGCTATCCATTGCGAGGATATCCCTGGGATGTATTTTACTGTATATCCTTAGTATATATGCTAACGTATATCCTAAGAATATCCTCCACATGTCCCGGGACATGCGACTTAGCAAGACAACACGACATGACCGTCAGAAAAGACAAATGCAAAAAATTCAAGCCCTGCGGTAATATCTCCGAAAACGTGCGATTGCTCCCAAATTATAATTATATATTTTACAGATGGGAGTAAAAAACAAATTTAACTGCTATTAGAATTCCCGCAAATTCATATTTTGGCGGGAAAATTTAGTTCACATTCGAATCACGTTGCCAGCACATTAGACGGAATTTGACTCTTTATCTACGAATGCACAATACAAAAATGCATAGACAGTTTTAAAAATTATTTTTCTTCATATTTTGACCCGACTGCCCAGATGATTCGGCCAGGTTTCTCGAGTTCAAGGAATCAAACTTTAACTAAAAGAACCCTGAGATTCGCCGTTTTCATACTCATTGTCACCCGAGTCACAGATATAAAATTTGTCAGTGGTTAGTGAGTCTTAAATTAACTATATAAAAAAAAATATTGCTCAAATAAAAAAAATGTTGTTAATTGTTGATTAGCGTTAAGTTAATCTCTACCTAAAGCCAAAGAATTACAGCATTTTTAAAGTGCTTGCGGCAGCTAGACTTTATAGCATAATTTCATAAATATCACGTAATATTTGCAAAGCTTTAAGCGAAATAATTTATGGGCTTTATTCCTTATAGGTCTGTTTTTCACTTTATGTGCAATACTGTAGAAAAAACTGAAATAAGGCTTTGCAAATTTCCTGACTGCTAATTACACCATATGTTTGCATATTAATATAAATATTAAAAAAACACATTAAATAATTATTAAGTCGATGTCGTCATTCTGTATGAGTTTTCGAAAAAAAACATGGCGTTTTACAATTAGGTTTCTGAAAATTTCCGGAAAATGATGAATGAGAAATACATATTGTTAAATATATATAGCAGCCAAAACTCATTGAAGCTCAAAAGTAAAGACGATGGCAAATTGAAAATTAACCACAATAAAACATTAATTATAATCCATTACCATACTTGATTTTTTTATTATGCACACACTTTAATAAATATATTGGCTGCGTTACAGTCAAACAATTTTCTGTAACCACAAGAGGAACCTGCGAGCAAAACCAGATATATTGTCGCTAAATATTCCATTGTACGGTCAAGCCAGATTATCGTTTGTTTCTCTTGTTTTGTTGAAAACTCACATTTATTTTTTATTAGTGCAAATTTCTGTCATAGAAGGAACATTAACATTAAAGAACAGTTAACAATTTCAAAAAATACCCTCACAATCCTTATTTATAGGGACTGCAAAAAAAAAAAGATTTCAATAAAAACACTTAACTACTGCAAAAAAAAAATATTTAAAAAATTTTTTTTTCTCTAAAATACGAAATTATGTATAGATCAGGAGTGCGGAAATTGTCCCGAGGCACTGCGGACATTTTGACACTTTAGTCACGGGTTTGGAAGCGATCGGGTGTTTTCGGTAAATTTTAGCCACGCATTCTGGATTCCGATTGTGCTAAATCAAACCTGTAATGTTTATTAAACCAAATCCTGGTAAAATTACAATAATAAAGCACTTAATTTGCCCAAAATGTCACCAACCAAAAAGTTAATTGTCCTTAAACGCAGCGTAAAGCCCATAATTTTCGCTAATAACTAAGAAGACAATTTAAATTATTGTTTTTATAAAGAGTTTGGTATTTTTGCCTCATGAGCTCATATTAACCTCGCCGCAGTATAGTAAACCTCGGTTTAAAATACTCGCGTTCTCGATGCTCGAACGACAAGGAAAAAAACTGCTCACGGACAACATCCCCGACGTCGAGGATATCGAGAGAGAAAAAAAAAAAGGCCGATTCCCAAGTAGACGCGGCCGCCTCGTATTCAAATGAGGTCATTATTCACGTAAATACGGATCGTGCCGATGTCAGTTTTCTTTCACGAGATAAACGTTGCATCACTCAGTAGATATCTGCCGGTTGTTTAGTTCGTCGTCGGTACTTCTTTTCTCCGCCGCCTCGTAACACCCCTTCTATTTATAGACCCGGGTGACCTTGTCAAAGGCGACTAAATGGATGGAAGACACCTCGAAGAAGAAGACGCGTTTAGATCATCTCCGTTTTTAAATGGCGACCCGGGCTATAGTTCCGGGTTGATGAGGCAACAACGATCTTGAAATCACTGCCTATGTGACTTACCGGTGATCTGTACCTGATCTTGTACCTTTAATTATTACCATCTGCTATAATATGTAGTAATTATGGTATAGTTGAAGATAAAAAAAACGGAACAAAGAGCGATCTAATACGCCTTTTTAAAATACATTTTTACACAATAGCCTTTAGTAAAGCTTGTCAGGTTTGTACATAATTTGAATTTGTCAAAACCTGAAGTAACCAAAACCGAAGGTCGGTCCACCTAGATCCAGAACTTGACACTACAAAAGTAGGAGATCCAGAGACTCTTAAATAAGTGTATCTTATCCTCTATTATCTAATACACAACAACAGAGCCGGAAAGTGTGCACTAATTGTCCCAAGGGAATTCGCTAAAAGATTCTTTATTTAGAATGATAACTTTTATAAACTGCCCGTTCCATTTTTACCAATCATTAGAAAATACCCACAGCCCCTCACAAATATTTTAGACACTCCAGAGAAACTTGCTGACCCTAAATTTAACCTCACCCTTATTCATGGTCACGGTCAAAAAGATTTGAAATAAGATAGAAATATTCTGTCTTTAACCGATTTCAAATACAATAATAGTTATTTGAAAGATAAATTCGCTTTTCTTTGACAGTGTGGATGGCAAAAAACAAAATATTCAATTCCTTGGAGCAACTGCTGGCGCCATCTAACGGGCAACAGACAGACTGAACCTTAAAATAAGTAGAAAACTACCCGCACAGGCAATTTTTTAATTTGTTTCCATCGTGCGGTCAAAAGGGTGCGCCATAGTATTCCCTGCCTAGTTAAATAAATCTTAATTAATCAAAACGTAGCAAGATTTTTATACGTATTTTAATAATTTCTAGTTACATATATATAGAGGTTCTGTTGACTAGATAGAGATAGATTTACATTTGAGGACATCACGTTATATACAAATGGTACATTTACTCTAAACTACACATTCTACTTTTTTTTACACCAGTTACATTCATTTACGCTTTTTAAACAACCGTATTCAAATACTAATTCGTAGAAACCTGTTGCAGTGCAAGTCGATATATTTCGATCAGTTTAAACGTAAAAAAATATAAAATAAAAACTCAAACAATATGAAACCTTTTTTTGTATTTACTGCTATGGGCAGAACTCTCAGGGTTATTGGGCCAACAAATGTCAACTTGGAAACTTCCAGGTTTGCGATTTTCACTTCAATGCCCGAAGATTAGTTGTGATCATTTCGAAAACTTTCGAACACACGCAGCCAGCTTTATTTCTTTTTCTCGAGCATTTATTAAAATTCGGTGCATCATTATTTATCAAATTACCTATTTTTGCTAGGTACGTGCTTTATTGGATCCCAGATTTGGCCCATTAAGACGACACAGAACGTCGCGCCTGTCTAATTTTTGTACATGTCGCACAGCACTTTCTCCATGGGCGTGTTCCCTATTGTTTTGTGAAAGAAAACCGCTTCTATCCTGCAGGCTGGCACGAGTCGGAGCAGAGGTAGCATCAGCAGCAGTCTACCGAATCTGGCGACCTGGCCAGGGAGTTGGGTTCTGCAATGTTGCCAAAGCATTACCTGGGCCTGATCCTGTAGGTTTTCGATCTGGCTGGGGTCCTTCAGGCCTTTGGTTTCTTAAACAAAAATTGCCAATAATTTCTAAATTTTTCACGTTTAGAAAAAAAATGGCACAATTACGTTACAACGGGAGCAAACCCTTTAATGCTTGCAAACAGAATGATAGATCAGAGTTTTAAACATTTCTGATTTGTTAACTTAAGGTCAAAATGTCAACAAACATTTTTACTGCTAGGATGTTTAAAAATTAAATAATGTTGAGGGAAAGAATTATGAATTTTGCCATCGCCTACTATATATACTACTATATATATATATATATATATATATATATATATATATATATATATATATATATATATATATATATATATATATATATATATATATATATATATATATATATATATATATATATATATATATATATATATATATATATATATATGATGACACTATATTCCGGGATATCATCCGTTCGCTCGTTGAACTCCGACTGGAATCCTGCATCCGACTGGAATCCTGCAAATCTTGCATCCGACTGGAATCCTGCAGACGTTTCGCCAAAATCTCACTTGGCATCTTCAAGAGCATTGAAGATGCCAAGTGAGATTTTGGCGAAACGTCTGCAGGATTCCAGTCGGATGCAAGATTTGCAGGATTCCAGTCGGATGCAGGATTCCAGTCGGAGTTCAACGAGCGAACGGATGATATCCCGGAATATAGTGTCATCACATTTTTCCATCCGTGAATCAATACGTGAGAATATATATATATATATATATATATATATATATATATATATACATATATATATATATATATATATATATATATATATATATATATATATATATATATATATATATATATATATATATATATATATATATATATATATATATATATATATATATATATATATATATATATATATATATATATATATATATATATATATATATATATATATATATATATATATATATATATATATATTGACATGACAATTGTTTCGACAATGTAATATTTACAAACTACCTGCTACTATATATACCGAAAAATGACCATTAATGGCTTTCAATAAATTTAATTTTCAACTATTGTTTTTAAACGCTCTTTCATGTTCGTTAATGCGTTTCTTGAAGGATCTACCTGCTTGTCCAAAATAAATTTTAGGACAAGATCCGCATTTCAACCTGTAGACACCTGATTTTTGGGATTTAGGACATTTCGTTTTATTGTTTTTTAAAAATAATTTCGGGAAAATCTGAACTTTCAGTTCTTATTCATTTTGAAAAAGTTCATAGTTTTCAAGTTTTTGTTTGTATATATTTTATGTGCATTTTAACTAAGTTATAGTTTTTTGGTTAACCTATGAACTTTAATTATTTATTTTTTATTAGGTATTTTCAATCAAGCTACATAATTAACTGTTAAATGTTTCTTTAAATATGAATTCTGAAATTTTATTAAATCTGTTAAAGTATTGAGTCGATTTTTCTCAAAATCTCCATTTATTGTAGCAATAGGTTTTGTTCGTATATCTGAAGCATTATATCTTTAAAAGAGTAGTATCGTGTCTTTGTTATTTAAAAAATACCTAATATTGCCAACAAGTGACCTATTGTGGGCAGCTTTAAATTCAATAAGAATTTATACTGGTTTTATCTTAAACCTCGAATATCTCAAAAAGTAAGTAAAAGTTAAATATAAGATAAATTATAAAGTCATCTTGTTTACACACCTACAGGGTGTTCCATTTGTAAATCTTGTGATTTTGTAAATTAAATTCGCCAAAACGGCACCAAATATTTGGGACACCCTGTATAAGCTCAGGCGCATCTGTCAAACTGATTGAGTAGTGCATCATCTTCTTAGTCTGTGGTTAAATTTCCGTTGCAATGCCTGGATCAGTAGCGTCGCAACACAATTTTATATGGGGCAATCAAAAAATTAAAAAAAAAACAACATATAACCCTCAATTTCTGTGACCTTTATTTTAACCAAGGATTCCAAAAATTTCGATATATACAGGGTGTTCCGTTTAAAATAACAAAGTTGATGTCGACACCCTGTATCACCAAAATTATATTATTTCAAATCTTCAGTAGAGTCCAAGAAACTTTTCGTATCTCCTATGGGTTTCCAGATAGTATAGTAGATCGTTTTATTTGGCATCACTGTACATACAAATACATATTTTATATTAGACTTACTTTTCTTGTACTCATTTTTTGTATCTTGTATTGTTTCATGTTTCTTATTCATTTGACAGAAAGAAATGGTTTTTAGACTTTGATGACCTATATAGAGGTGAAAACAATTGACAAGATTCATTAACAATTTTTATAATAAGTGAAATTATTTGTTTTTAATAGGCAAAGGAACAAATAAGATCCCCATATATTTACACATTTTTAAAAAACATGCTTGTAGGGAAAAATAAACAATTACTTGAATTAATTGTATACTCTGTATATCAAACAAGTATTCTACTTCTCGTGCACATATATTACCAAAATTAAAGTCACTATGACATTTTGTAGAGAAGCCAAAAACTATATTTTAATTAACTCCTGCATGTTTGCTTGGTAGGGTCAGTTTTAGGTATACAGTAACATTGAATTGTTATGAATTTGATTAATGAATTAATTAATGTTGTAATTAATTGTAATATTGCAACTTATACTTATTTTAACTTTGTGAATATGCAAATGATATATTCAATAATGCAGTTAATTTATTAAATAAGACTGAAAAAAAAATCAACTCATTTATGCAATAGTACAAGATGAGATGAGAATTAGTAACAATAAGCACAAAATGGTTTTTGAAACAATCTTATAAGATCTCGTTAAAAACTGTAAAAGATGGGAATAGTTTTAGTTAGTTTGTTAAACAAAACTAACGTTGAAAATTAATAAGCATTTCTTCGCAACTTAGATATTTTTCAAAGAAACTTCCACAGGCTACTGTAATACCTTTTACAAAACTTGTGGACTCCTCCTGCGTCGGTTTTTGCTGAGTCGAACTTGCTGACGTTTCGCCAATCATCCTGTTGGCTTCTTCAGAGCTTGACTGAAACTGGCTCGTATTTTACTCTGTACCTGTTTATATTTGAGGGGGGCGGAGCTAAATGAGGGGCATAAACACCGTCTCGGATGAGTGATTTTCAAACAACCTAACAAACCGCGACTCGAAAAATCCGAAAGTCTATACAAATTTAACTTAACAATCTTAACCGCGACTCAGGTCTTTACCTGTCACCAATATAGGAATCAGTCATCCGAGACGGTGTTGATTCCCCTCATTTAGTTCCGCCCCCCTGAAACAATATATAAGCAGGTACAGAGTAAAATACGAGCCAGTTTCGGTCAAGCTCTGAAGAAGCCAACAGGATGATTGGCGAAACGTCAGCAAGTTCGATTCAGCAAAAATCAACGCAGTAGGAATTCAGAAGTTTTGTAAAAAGTATTCCTTTGTAGATAATTTTCACCGTTCCCTTCTACTTACCGGCTCGGAACAAAACGATAGCTTTCAAACAAGCGAATTCGGCCGGATCCACGTGCACCGACTTGTAGCGAATCAGGGTATCCGTGAGAAGTCTGATTTCGGAGACAGAGGTTCCGTTTTTGGTGTGCTCGTTGGGGTTGAACAGCGGACTAGCGTTAACGTCGAGAGGCATGCACCATTGGATGGCGTTTAGCAGAAATAATTCGCTCCACGCCTCTTCAAGCAGGATTACCTACAAAATCTACCATTTCATTCTCGTTTTGTACAGAAACCGAATATATCAAAATAATAAACAACTTATATATTTTTACATGGCAATTGTTTCGACAACACCGTGTCTTTATCAAATGACATTTGCCGGTGTTGTCGGATCAATTATCATGTAGAAATATATAATTTCGTGAAAATCTGAACTTTTAATGCTTATTTATTTTGATAAATGGATTTTCATCAAGCAAAATCCACCTCAGTTCAAAACGAATATGTATTTTTTAGAGCGAAAAGCGAGAAAATCACTTCATACCTGATCTCGAAAGGGCAAACTCGCGAAACTGGGCAAGTTTTTAGCCCACTTGACGGCCATGAATAGAAGTCTGGCAGACGTTTCGTATATGGTTTCGTGGGCGGCAGGGTACAAGCTTGCCAGGTTTGCGGGTTGCGGTTCCGGCCTCACCGGGCCGCTACTAGAGGACACCCCGCATCCTGACGAGGGCGTGTCGTCCTCTTCGTTAGTCACGTCTATACTTTCTTCTGAGAAATTAAAATTGTCGAAATTAATATGCACGATACCGCAGCTGTAATAATCACAATTCTTGACGGATTGGCAATGGCGCCTCTAACTCATCAATAGTAGCAGAAAACGGCGCTATTACAACACAAAAAAGCCGGATATTGTCTAAGTTAAATGGACTAGTTTATTAATACCGCACTATAACATACTATAGGAAGAGGTAAAATATAAAAATATTTACTTAAACCGTGTAACATTTTTGGCGGTGTAATGATACTATTTAAGTCAAATATTTCAGTGTATGGTTTAATAAATTATGGTGTAAGAAATAAAATTCGTTTCTAAAGCATTTAGGTTCCGTATACAGTCTTTCCAATTCAAGGATGTCTATTATGGATATATTGGAAACCATAACAGATACGAAAATGGTGGTGAGAAAACTAAAAAAAATCACAAAACAAAATGCGGATTTGTTTTTTTTTCTGGTGTTATTTAAAGATATATAAAAAAAAGGTTACTTTATTTTTGTCCCGATTTTAAACTCTAGAAGAAGGCGTTGAGAAGTTTTAAGAATGACGTTTCGGTTCGGCGAAATTAGCATCACCTTGATTTTTTCACATGGTACTTGAAAAAACTACACTATTACGATGTTCGACACAATATGATTCTATATTGTTTAAATCACAAAACGGAGGTTTTTATTAAATTTTCAATGTTTTAGTGTAGTAGGCGTTGAGAAAATGACAAAATAATATTATTGATATATCGGTACATGCCGTTTTTAAACGTTGTTGTTGCTTTTTTTTCGCAAGGTTTAAAATGATGCGAAATGTAGTATAGAGTCATTAATTCGGTGCAGTTTTCGGAAAAAAATACAAACATACAATACAAAATACAAACATTTCATTTGACAAAAATATAGACCACAGCAGAATAATATTTAAAGATATGATGGAAAGTGTATTTATTTGACAAATTATTAACACAAAAAAGCGAGTTGATTTCCAAAAATATGTGGGGTTGATAGAAAGTAAATATAAATTGCAGCAATGATTTTTTCATGCTTCAAGAAATGTCTACACTCTTACACGTTTCATTTAACTTCCTTTTTTACTTTCAATATCAAAAAATGTCACTTTGCCGCCTAGGGCTACAGTTATACTACTATTTTGAATATAATGATAATAGCTATTTTTGTAGAGTCGATCCCGAATGTATTTGGAATATAAACCGACTGAGGCGCTGTCTGAAGCAATTGAAGATATTTTTCTACTCCTGTCTGTAATAGTATATTATGCAACAAGTGCGGTAAACGGCATTTGACTCAGGAGCGGAGCGAGTGTTTAACATACGAGTGAGTTAAAGAGTTTACCGAACGTGTTGCATATTGTATTTTTTCTACGACCGTTAGTTTGTGGGTACATTTTCATAAAACAACACGAATACAGACGTCAAAATTCAAAGCGTGCAAAAGATCTCCGAAAACATCCGATAGCTGCCAAGCCCGTGCGAAATGCCCGAAGTGGCTCAGATCCGTGGGAAACGAAACTGACGTGATAAAGTGACACTTCCCACACGCTAGACCGGTGTGTAAAAACTTTACCGCGTCAGTTTCCTTTCCCACGAATCCGAGTCACTTCGGACATTTCCGGGATTTTACAGAAAGGGATTTGGGAGCAATGGGATGTTTTCGAACATTTTACAGCACTGCGTGAATTTTGAAGTTTGTCAACTCTGACTGTCATGTCAGTGAATGTATTCGTGTTGTTTTGCAAAAATGTACCCAAAAACGAACGGTCGTAGAAAAAGTATACTATGCAACGCGTTTGGTAAGCTTTTTAAGTCACCCGTTTTTTAGAAACTCGCTGTGCTTGTACCAAATAAACTCTTGACTCAAATGCCGTTTACTACACTTGTTACATAATATACTGTTCTCTACCTGCCTCTCTAAAATGGCCCAATAATACACCGATCTAGCGTGAGGAAAGTGTCAATTAATAACGTCTGTTTCCTGTTTCGCGGACGCGTATTAGAACTTTGAAAGCTGTTTACTATCTGAATTTTCTTATATTAACCACAATTACAGTGAGTACTACTTTAAGGCTGAATCAAATTCAAATCTTTTTTATCTAATGCTCTTAAGTCTATCTCTAAAAGGAAAAGAAAAAAGAAAATAGGTATCGATAACTCTAAAAAAACTTAATACATTTTAATAAACTTAGACTTGCTAAACAGGGCTTTTGTTAAACTATCAATCGTGCAGCGAGAGATGCGATTACTATTGCTTATTTTATCACCAGGTGTTTTCTAAGATTTTCGCCCACTCTAATTAGGGTTATTATAAGAAAATATTTCAGAAACCTAATGAACATTTCAGAAACCCTAAAATAATTTTCAGTATTTTTTGTTGTCCGATTTATTTAATACATATTATTTTTTAAATTTCTACTAGGGCCTGTTTTCGTGTTTTAGTCTTAGTACACAGCGGGCATTTCCGGGATATTACCGCATGAGTTTGGCAGCAATAGGATATTGTCAGAGATATTTTCTACGGCTTGAATTTTGACGTTTGTCCATTCTGACTGTCATATCACTGAATGTATTGTTGTTTTGAAAAAAATAAACGTTAGTAGAAAAACTATAGTATGAACACTGAAGAATCTCAATATCTACAAAAATGTGCTTAAAAAAAGTTAAAGAAAACAGAAGTGCTACAATCGAATAAATAAAATGTAAAAATAATATTGAAAATATCTATATATTTTTGTAAAATTAAAAAACAAAAGATTAATATATTGTGTATAATCGGAGAGGTGCAAATCCCAAGCAATAATAAGTAGTTGAAAGTTATAGTAAATAGTCGTAATTTATTTTAGGGCCAACCTATATACGGGCAGTATTTGCCCCCTTTATAAGGTTTTCTCCCACTCTTATTATGGTTATTATAAGAACATTTTTCAGAAACCGAGTGAACATTTCAGAAACTCTAAAATAATTTTCAGTATTTTTTGTTGTCAGATTTACTTAATATAATATACTAGTTTTTAAATTTCTACTGTTTTCTTGTATTAGTCTTGTCAGAGATATTTCCCACTGAATGTACTTTACTGTAACATTTTTTTATGTAAAAGAATTTTTGGCAATAAATATTATTATTATTATTATATTATATTTTAACAGGTTTGGTAAACTTTTTAAGTCACTCGTTCATTAAGCACTCGGCTCGTTTGCTGTTTACCACACTTGTTGCATAATGTACTATTGGATGCCGCGAGCGGACCACTGGATTTTACGAATTCGAATATTTAGGTACGAATTAACAAAGTAAAAACCGCTAAGAAGAATAATTAATATTGCCATATAATTAAGGAGTAATTAGAACCTTCGTACTGTCAGTTCACTTAAATAAAAGTTAAATTTTACCAAATTAACTGTTATCCCAGGTGTAAGTGAATTAAACACAAAAATGTTCTATAAATTCTGAAAAAAAACAAGTTTTACATGATTTATTTAACAGTTATGCTTCTCTTACTTTGTATTTATATTGTTCAGATGCTTCGCTACTCTGAAAAAACCTTAACTGTTGTCCTGAAATGCTTCTTAAAGTTTCGCTAACACGAGTGGCACGTTCTTTCAGACGACCTTCCATCTTCGATGCTGGACTGTGGGGCACTGGTTATTGTTTAGCGTTGGGACCGGTCAATTGACTTTGGTCAATTGACCACTTCTTAATTGACCGGTCAATTGACCACATTTTAATTGACTAGTCAAAAATTTAATAATAATACGTATTTTATAATATATATTTAATATAACCCTCTTCGAGCAATACCCAATAGATAAGTAAATATAAATAAGTAAAAAATAAATTTCATGGTAAGGTACTTGCGGCAAATAAGGCCCAGTTAATAAGAAATTGCTTTATTTGGCAAACACAAGACCAAATAAGGAAATACAAATATTATCTTAATTCAGACTCTCATAAATGAAACTACAGGCATACGTTCAGTCTTAAAGGCTTGTGAAATATTTAACACACTTAAAAAAAAACTGTCATTGGGCTTTCTTATCCGAACATTTGACTAATAAAGCCCACAACAAAAATTGGGGTCGATTATAAAGGCCCACCAAAAACCAGGCTAAAATAGGTAATGTAAATTTGGTTATTTTTTTATAGACACAGTTATAAATCCTAAAATACCAAGTTTGCGCAAAACATATTTCTTCGAACTAAATAAACCAACAAAATAAAAGCATTTTTATAACAATAACGCAAATTAAACCCCCTTAAAGAAAAAAAAATCAATCTAATCACAACCTGTACAGATATAGTCGTCTTTGTCGTCTTTTGTGAAGCCAATACATACTTCGTGACACCAAGTGCTACAAGACACTCTTATTAAACTCTTATTTTCTTTCAATTCGTACAGTTGCGGTGTAGGAACAAGTTGTTTAAAATACTTATTCAGATCTTCACTTTCTTCTTGAGTCTTATCTGAGATCGTATTATCGGTCTTGACAGGTATTTTATACCTTTCATCGTTTTGGATTTTATATTTTTAGACTTTTCCTTAGATATTTTTTAACATACTAAGTGGAATGTCATATTCAGAGTCGTCTGAATTATCGCGGGATTGCATATTAATATCAATAATATTATCGTTACAATTATTAGACTCGTTGTTAACATTATTAGCATTAACTTTGTTTCCATCATATTCCTCAGCGTAAGGACGTTCAGTTGCTGGTGATATGGCAAAAGCTGATTCAGGAATTACAGTAGGATCATGTGGATACAAGTCTGTCGCTCGAAGACCGCTTAAGATGTTCTCTGGGGTCATGCATCTGAGCCAAACTTTAGACAGAATTTTGCCAAAACTAGATTTGCACCAACGACGGTCTGAGTGTGCCTCCCAAAACCTGAAAACTTCTTGGTCCCACGCTTATATTCAACTCGGTTATGTAAATGTCTAGGTGACGAGCAGCCCCATCAGAAACTAGCGAGATAGTGTATGGACCCTTGTAACTATATTGATTGCCTTAGGAAACCAATAAAAAGATCATTGGTCATGCTACCCTTTTCGGCCATATCAACTAGGGCACATGGCGGAAGGTTTTCTTAAAATTCAGGCTTTAATCTTAAATATCAATATGACCATAGATGGAATACTATTCCTCAAAGCATTACAACATCCAATAATGCTCACGTTTTCTGCGTGCTCAGGTGCAACTAAGTGAACACGTCTGGCACCTTTTTGCCCAATAACAAGCTGTTGATGATGAATAGTCTTCGTCCATATTGAAAACGTTGTGTGGATTTTGGTGCAAATTCATTTCATTAAAAATGTTAGCTAATTTATTAAAGTGATCACCCACCATAAATTTATTAAATTTTTGGGCACGGGCTGGGTTCATTTGTTGCTCCTTGCGCCTAGACAAAAACGCGCTTCAAAAACCCATAGAGCCAATCCTTACCAGCGACTTCTTAGGAAGCATCAAATTTGGTGTCTGATATATATTTTCATATACTTGTCAAAATCGGCTTCTTCGGGCATTAGAGTAACGCAAACCTTTATATATCATTAGATATCAATATAAAACCCCCTTTCTGAGTCAAATAGTTGCCGATTTCGATAAGATCTTAGTCAGAATCTCCTCTTGTTGGTACAAATAATTGGTTTTCGCTCTTGATTTCGAGCAGATTATAGTCAAAACCTGCATTGTCATAACTTACCGGACTGAAATCTACATTAAAACTGCAGATAACTACTTAAAAACCCACTTTCTTAGATTGACAGTAGGTTTTTCTTCCTTTATTCAAACAGATTCCAGTCAAAGTCGGCTCCTCCGACACATATCAATTGTTTTCTTTGATCGGCAGTTAATGCACTGAATCGTCCTATTTTTTTTTATTTAGAACGCTAAATCTTAGATGGTTTCTAAGAGTTCTGGGTATTCCATATCTTTGAGCAGCTAATCTTTGGAACAATTCATTATCTATTACTGCGTTAATGGCAGCTTGAAGGTGTTCTGTAGTCCAATTCGCTCGATCGGATGGAGAACTAAATAAAAGAAAGAATATTTTACAGTATCGTCTAATAAGGTCCACTTGGGGCCTTATTAACCGAAAAATCAGTGGGCCTTATTAGCCCAAAGTCTTCCAAAAACGTAGAACTCAAGGAACTAAAAAAAAAATATTCACGTTCAATTCGAGGATAATTTTAATGATCACGGGTCAATACCGGGCGTCGTTCAGAGTACAACTGATTTTTTGACAGACGTGCAAAATTCGCGGTATTTCTTTGGGATGTGGAATTCAGATAAGTTAGTAGAAACAACGAAACGTTTAAAAAAGAAGCGTAGGTTTCGAGTTTTGGCTGGGGGGCCTTATTAGCCGCCGTTCCTTGTTTGCCGTAAGTACCTTATTTCTAAAATTATTTCGTTAAATTCAGTGAATTGACACAAATAAAATTGACCGGTTAATTCCACAATCCTAATATTGTTCGCAAATTTCTATTAACCTAATGCAGATAAGATAAAAATATTTTTTTAAACTTTAGAAAGCAAAACATCTCTGGATCGATCTATACATATACATGAAACATTTAGAACCACCTCACGAATTTCGGTAAGGTACACACTTAAGAAACACCCTGTACATTATCAGCTTGGAAAATTACGAACGCCGGCGGCGTCGAAACGCAAGGAAACAATTTCGCGGATCCGGCAGCGGATTTTAGTTTTCTCTCGCGTATCGGTTAATCTGCGTGCCAGTCGAACGACTAAACTAAATGCCAAAATCTCCGCCATTTTCCCCGAAGGATAATTAGTAACTCACCGTCACTTACGCCTTAATCCTTTCCAGATTAAAACTACCCCTTTCTACGACCGGCGGCTTGTGCCCGTATAACCCTGACGGAATTTGCATCGATTTAAAGGACGGGAAATTTCATCGAGAACTTTTAATAATTCTAAAGCTTCTCCCGTTAGACGAGAGACGCCGAACGCCCATGGCTTTCGGGCCACGTTTGTCGACCGTAGACAGAGAAAAATTAACGTGCCCTTTCGAAAATCGTTAGATGTTTTTTTAAGGGAAAATGATTCTTAACTGGATATCGTTTATTATCGAATACCAAATAAAAAAAACGATTAGGGAGTGTTAGTTTTGGAAAGAAATGGACCAAAATCCTAATTCTATTTAAGAAATGATAATATCCGTCACCCTCACGCATTTATAAAGTTTCGTCGGCCATTTTAAGGGGAAATGAGTTATTTTTCAAGCAAGTAATTCAAATGAAAACAATAGGGTAATTCCGGGTGAGAACATCCAGAGGGTGTTTATAGTGTACGGGCTAGTCAATTGACCACTTATTAATTGACTAGTCAAAAAATGTTTTAAATAACATCTTCCAATTGTAAAGTGTTATCTATCATTATTTAATAATAATATGCATTTTATAATAAATTGTTATGCGTTTGTGATGTTCAATTTATCTGTAACCCTCTTCTAGGAATATCTGAATGCGATACTTAGCGATTTGGGGAATCCCAATAAAAATATCGATCCCATTTAGTTCCCAGAACGACGCGACGGCGCACGCGCGATACAAATACAAAAGTAACATTAAAATGTTTTTTTAAATGTATTTAACTGGTATCTTAAGGCACGTAATAAAATTACTTTTGATTTAATTGATGATTGAAGTTGTTAATAACCTTTATTTTATGATTCATTGACGTAAAAAAAGTTTCACAATTGAACATAACTGTCGCGACAACAGCCGGGTCATCTCTTGGGATAGACGACTCAACGCAAGAAAGAAAGAAAAATGACTGAGAAAACTATTGCTAGATGGGCTAAATTAATAAGAGAAAAGAAAAAAATTAAATTTAAAAAATGAAGAGAATAGAATCAGAGCGTGATCATGGATGCCGCCTCTCGGGAAGACGGCTGGAATATTTGACTCCTAATGCGAGAAGACACTATGCTCTATAGAAGGCGAAGCACCGCCCCGTGTCCAGTGAGTCAAAAAGCGCGGAAATATAAAAAATGAACCGATATAAATCGAGCGGTTGTATAAATTGTTGGTAGTATGTATAATAAATAGTAATGTATACATAGTTAATTAGTTTCATCGTCGCGTTTGACAAATTTGGACGATTTTTGTGGCAATATTTCAAATGAGTTGTTGATTATAAACCAGAAGAAAAAGACTAGAGGAAATGAAAGGAGTTCAAAATATCTGACTTATGTGGCAAAATATTATCCAAAAAACGGTTTAGGTACCAACTAACCCATAGATGCGGGAGAATTTTACACAGTGGTGATTTTATAAAAAATATTTTGTTTAAAAGATTATGTCCAAACTTACAACCACAGCGGAAAAATTAACACAAAATTCAATTTAAGTTGATTACTAACAATCTGTGGCGTTGCCAGAAAATAAATATATACAGTAGCAGTGATTTTTCCATGCTTCAACGAAATGCAGCACGGTCTCATTTAACTTCGTTTATTTGAAATGTAACATATTTGCAGATTCGATTTAAAAATAATTTAAAACATTTTCTGTGGAATCATATCGGCACCTATCCCAATCTACACCAAAAAACCTTGAATCAAAAAACATCCCATTTTTCTTTGTCTTGATATTTTACCAATTTGTAATTTTCTCATTTACAATTTTATTTATTATTTATATTTATATTTGAGCCCTCTGCAACTTACCATCGTTGTCGCTGTTATCCTTCGGACTCGGCTCCCTGGTAGGGGGTAGGGCAGGCTGCTGCATGGGGGGCAGCAAACTGTGGCCGTACCTTGCCGGTGATAGAGCCATCGTTAATGACACAGGTGGGCTAGAATGAAGAGAAATTTTAATTCGATTCAATTTTAATTAATTTTAATTCAATTTAGGTGAAATTACACATTTTTCTAGTATTCGTTATTAGTATTTTTTTTACTTACGTAAGATGCTTTTAAGAGCGTGAGGATCCAAGCTGTTTTTTTTCACTAATAATCATATCAACGATAAGCAATGTGTTTCTTTGAAAAACCTCGGTACCGCTACAGCTTTGACCTCAGTTATGAATCAAATTATAGCTTCCTCATTCTATTAGATATCTCAAAAGCATTCGATACTCTAGAGTCTACACCATCAATTTTTACGAGGGCTATTTCGGGATTTGTAATAAAAACTATAAGCTACCGGAGTAATATGACTTTATTGTTTCTCAAAATATTCACCCAGATGATCAATACACTTTTGCATTCGATAAAAACCAATCATAAAAGCACTTCATTTATTCTTAATTTTTGGGAATAAAAAAAGGCATTATATATATATATATATATATATATATATATATATATATATATATATATTCTCACGTATTGATTCACGGATGGAAAAATGTGATGACACTATATTCCGGGATATCATCCGTTCGCTCGTTGAACTCCGACTGGAATCCTGCAGACGTTTCGCCAAAATCTCACTTGGCATCTTCAATGCTCGCGCTCCGAAAACACTGTGTTCGAAGTTCAACGAGCGAACGGATGATATCCCGGAATATAGTATATATATATATATATATATATATATATATATATATATATATATATATATATATATATATATATATATATATATATATATATATATATATATATATATATATATATATATATATATATATATATATATATGGTTCATCAAATCAACGTTTTTAATGCTCAAAAAGTTCTTTGCTTGCACTGATCGGTGAGACCTAGAATAACTCAGGAGTTGAATACTTTTGTTGTTGATTATAGAAGAATTCTCCGAATCTTCAAGAAATAAGAGTAAGGAGAGTTTCTTAAATGCCTGCTTTTGCTTGCACCCTAAACATATTCAATAGCTGTTCCTTCGACATCTGTATCTGGCACATTGTTTTTGATAATTTCAGTGAGATCCTTTTTAAAAGCCCTTGATGCTTGGTGCCTTGCCTTGCCTTGGTGCCTCATGTAAACCTGACAGCATTTTTTGCAGGACTTCATATTTTGAAGCTGTAAAATGAGCTGACTCCAGTACTTTCCGTTTACTAAGATTCTTTGCTGTTTCCAATCTAGGGATTTAATGACGTCCTGGCAAAAGTAAAATAAATAATTTAGGCGGAATTCAATCCCCCTGCCTCAATTCGGTACATTTTTTGTGATCAGATCTTCACCCAGTACTGCTGCCATGGTTTGCGTAGGTGTAGGAAGAAGTCCAACAGAAATATCTGATAACAACATATATTTCAACAAATATTGATGATGTAGATTCCACCAAAAGTTTTTCTTAACTAAAGAAATCGTTTATTTAAAGATGATTTAGAGTGTTTAAATCTCGTAAAATCGTGAAAACTTACTTTATCTATCGTTGGGTCATATATTACTCTATCCCGAAAATACCATGACTAATCTAGGCACAAAACATTGTTTTTTTTAGTCGATAGCGGCACTTTTGTAATGTGTTCTTTAGAATATTGATGTACCAAAAGAAAATTTTTGTTTGTCTTTTAAAACTGTTAATTCAAATCGACTTGTACTACTTTTTTCTAGAGTACTGAGAGCGCTTCTCATTTCCCCAAAACAGCAACCAAGAAAACTATTATATCCCTATATATTTAGTACATACTTATAAAGTCCCGTTCATTGAAGACTACTGAAAAGTGTTACACTTCGACCAAAATAGCAGCCTCTTATAGAATACATAGGAATTTATCTGCATCCACTAACAAGCGGGATATAAGTATGTCTCCAATATTTTTCGCTAAGCAAATCTTATTACTTATTGCTGCTCCTACTTCTCCTTCTAAATTTCTTTTAAAACAATTTGTTTAGCATCCGAAGACAAATGGATCCGTTTTTTTTATTTGCTGAGGTAGTTCGTCTTCTAAATTGTCATTAGGTTCAATTACCGTCTCCACTTCGTCTTCAAATTCTGCGTTGTTTTCCATGTCTTCTTCTAACAGGGGAACATCTGCTTCATTTCACGGTCCCCACATTTTAAAGTTTTAAAAAACATAAAACTTGAAAAATGTTTAATTGTAAGATTCTAATAAATATTTGTCTGTATTCTTATAACGTACCTCTTTTACCGCGAATATAATCACAAAAATACGATCGACAGGCACACAAGACAAAAATGATTATTTTCAAACTTACCTGTAAGAAAAATAGAGTACTGGTAAAGTCTGTTCATAGATATAAGAAAGTGACTAACTGATACGAATTAAGGAAAGACCCGGGCAAGCTGTAAGAATGAAATATTGCCGAACAGGTCCGTACTTTGCTTAGAATTTAATTATTTGGGGTTTTGTTAAGAAAGATACTAAACAATATTTATTTATTTTTTTATGGATTTATGTTTAAATCTAAAATAAAATTACAGATTATTTTTATCACCTATTTTAATTACTTAAAATTATTCACATAATATATCAGTATCACTATCGCTATCATCGCCTGTTCTAATTCTTATTTGGTCTATATTATTTGCAATATGGATATGGATATGGATTGTTCTGCTTTTTCTATTTGTTTAACAGAATTTTCCCAACTTTGTGGAGGAACGTTAAAAACTTCGGTTTCTATAAGATTGAAGACATTGGAGTTAATACGGGGAAAAACATTGTTACGACGAATGGTAGATTTCAGTTGGTGCCAAACATGTTCAATGGGATTAAATATACAGTGTATATGTATGCCCTAGATTTTTTGCATAATTATCACAGACGTATTCCTTTTGTAGGTAGAACCTCAATTAATTGCTTTTTGGTATAATCTTCGTGAAAATAAATGTCGTTATTATACATGTATACATGTATACATGTTGTGGATTGTTATTTTTGTGTCACATGAGGAAGGGGTTTTAGTCGACTGTCTACTGTGATAACTTGCATTGTCCATTACAATTACGCTATTAGGAGGAATGTTTGGAACTAGTTTGTTATTAAACCAACTTTCAAATAAATCAGCGGCGGTGTCTTCATGGTAATTCAGAGAAGAATCTTTAATATTTTTCGCAGAGCGAGAAAGTCCATTTGGAATCCAACCATCTTTAGAGCTAGCATGCAAAATAGTTATTCTTTTACCTCTTTTGATAGTGCGTTTGTTTTACACTTATCAATTGAGTCAATCCAACCAATCAGAAATGTCGAACCAGGTTATAACTACTAAATTTTACGCCGTATTATATCTTGATCACTTTCATCTACACTCGAGAAAATGTTAGCATCGCTTCTACTTTTCCTCGCTGAAATGAGATTATTCAAAATTTTCCATACAGTTGATGTTGGAATTTTCGGAAATGTTTATTATGTTTATAACTTCCCTAGTCTCAATAGAAGAGTGTTTTCTACATTTGGGCGGGAGCATCTCTTCAGATTCACTAGACTCGCAAATATTTTGCATAATTCGCACACGATTCAACACACGCTGTATTACACACGAAATAAGAATGATTGCTAATAAACTTAAACTGAGTAGTATACCAAAACAAAGAATATTAAACACAGGTAGGTATAAAATTATTTTCTATTACGGACCACAATTTTACCTGAATTTAAATTCCGAAACTTTAGGTATCTTGTTGCATTGTATGTTAATGACCACCGTTGGATAATCCCATTCAAAAGCAATTGGTCACTTTCTTATATCTATTAACAGACCATATTTACCCTTACCCTTTGAACTATCTAGTGAAAACAGCCTGGCAGGGTCAAAGCTCGAAAATCAGGTACATAAATACGTACTTACTGGAAGGATCACATTCAAATACCTCAATAATATATACGAACATATTGCAGTTTAAATTAAACTTTTAAGAACGATACGTGATGCTAAAATAAACGATTCTACTTATTCGAAAATACCTCGCAATGCTTAATCAAATTTAAAACGGCCCACTTATGTTTCAAATAAAAATTCACGTTTCTACAAATATTCGTTACGGTCCATCTCAGACAAGACCTATTTAATGCAGAATAAACATGCGTTGGGATAGGTTTTACTACGGTCCTGCGAAGGTCTGCGGTTAAGGTACTGTAAAATACACAAAACCTCAAAGCAATAAATGCACAATAATTATGGTCGTGCAATACTAACCTAATCCTAATCGGTGATTAATTTGATTGATTAACCAAATTAAGAATTAGAGGACTGTATTCTGTACAGGTACTGCTGATATCTCTTAGAAAGTTGAATACATTAAGAAAACGGTAAATGATTTAATTAAAACCGCAAATAAAGGATAATTTGGCATAATTTAGTCTAGTGCGATACAAAGAAAACTTCCTTGTTGGAAAACACGTGAAAAGGTTCAACCGTTCAAATTGTATTCATTATTTAAATAGGTTTAATTAAAATACACCAAAAAATACATTGGGTTGAATACACGTGTCAAGTTTGTTTAATTTAACTATTTATTATATAATTATGAAAAAGTTAATATTCCTCAATATAATTTCGCTGGCCAGTGATTTATTGCCAACCTCGGGAAATCATTTTTCTTACATTACGTGATTACCATAGCAACCATTTGTCTGTTAAGTTGGACGTCTGTGGTTTTTTCTTTATATCTTTTTCGCGGCATCTTGTGGCTACAAAATGTTTTTCTTTTCATTATAATCTACGTTTTCCCTATTCAATTATTCGGTATGTGGTTCGATTCGTACTTGCAGTGAGTCTGTTTGCCTATTTTTACCACGTCCGTAAAAAAAAGTTATCGATTCGTCTTACGCCCGAACAATCAAACACTCGGTGAACTATAACCCTCCACCTGTGAACGGATCTCCCGTCTCCCTGATAGTCGTTCGGGTGTGAATTTACGTAGCCGGGATGACGACGGGATGATCGCGACTATAGCAGAGCTGTCGCGTCAGATCGGTTTTCACGCTATAATGCCTTTTGTCATACGTAAAACTTCAAAAAGGTGGCTTCTCGTCACCACGGGTGGTGAACCGGCATCGATTTGTTTAGCGCGTGGGTAAACTTAAATCCATTCCTATCCTTCCTCCAGTCACGCCGCCAGCAGATAAAGGTGAAGGTTTGGCTCGCATTTTGCACAAGATTTGCTCGGTTTTTGTAAAACAAATTATGCCATATTATTGTTATAAAAATAATACAAACAACAAAATACAAAAAAAGTAAACATTTTGAAACAGTAACTGTATAAATTGTCTAAAGAAAAATATAGTAGGCTATGAAAATTTTGAGTATGCCTTTCATCAGAAAGTAATATGGGTATGAACTACGTTAATACTGTAATTTGGACTACCCTTTTTTTAAATATACTTTACAATTTTAGGGAAGCAAATAAACAATCGTAAATATGTATACTTATTTTTGAATATATTCCCTAACTACGTACGCTACTGAATTGTAAATTCTACGTTCTAGACAATTATCAACAATGCAAATGCGCAAAAAATTCGTAAATTGGTCTGGCGGCCGGTGGAAATCATTTTCGTTCTGAATAAATAAAAAAAATCTTACTAACTCTGAATTAACAACAGCTAAATACTGGTTTTCAAAAGATAACTTAACCTTTAACCAAGGGAAAGCAGTTTTTTTAATCTTCAGCAAAGTAAAGCGCAAAATTCTTGGGAATTCATTTAGACACTAAACTAAATTGGTCTCAACACACAGAACGAGTGGCTAAAAAATCTGGAAAAACAATTTTCTAATACGTAGCCCAAAAGGTACTATAGAGTGTAACATATTATTGACAGCATTCAATGCTTTACTTGGTTCCCACTTACTGGAGAAAAGCTCTCGGTGCAGTAAGAGTCTATTTCCTACAACGTAGGGTAATTAAAATAATCACCAACCTCAAATACAGATCTAAATTTTCGGCCCTTAAACTTATAGATTTTTTACATGTGAATAAAGTTCACCCCTACCAAATACGGAATAGGGAGAGTCTCAGATCTGATTGAATTCCTTCTTAATGAGAGTAGGCTAAGTTCTAATTACTACTGCATCCATTTTTTTAATAAAACTAAGCCGGAAACTACTCCCAATTAACAGGTTGAAAAACTTAGTCAAACGTTTTTTAATAAAGCAATCATTTTACAGCTTGGAGGAGTTTATCTTTTTCCAATTCATCAATAATTATATCTAATCCGATGATTGCACGTCTTCGACTCCCCACCTTCGGAGATAAGTTTCTGTGATAATTTTCGTTGAGCTAAATGCTTAATATGATTTGTGTTTTATGTGTAGATTATATTGGAAAATTGTTATTCCATCTTATATTTTATTGGCATGAATGATTGTATACATTTTCTATGTTTGTAACATGCTAACAAATGAAATGAAATCAGGTTAAGCAGTTCACTATTTTTTTAATTCAATTGGTATTTTGCGTAAAATAAAAATAAATAACAATAATAAAAATAAAAATATATATATTTAGACCAATATACATTTTCGAGAAGCGTAGAATAACCCAATTCAAATAAATAAATGGTATTCCACTTAAACACAACATTAGCACATATCTTAAACATTATATCTGAGTACCTCACTTAATTCTACGTTGAAAGATCTAAGTTTCCGTTTTTAACATCCGTGCTTTCTGTTTCTCCCTCTAAAACAACGCCAGTTAGGCTTTTTTTTTTCCTGAAAATCGAGCACATAATAACTGAGATATCCCGCAATAACAACGAAAAATGGATACATTGTACTGATCAAGCGACAAAACGACAACTCCATTGGAGCGTATCCGCAATACTTTAGTCATGGATGGGTCGATATTTAAAACACTGACGAAATGTTGAAGTTTGTTAGTTCTAACAGTCACACGTCACTCAATAAAGGTATTCGTGCTATTTTACAAAAATGTTCTTCTTCGCGTGACTAATGTTTAGTTTATGAAGTTCAAGTTTCCAAAATTAAATCAATGCTGGAAGTAATTTTCATAGGAGTAATTATTTGGGCAAAAATTAAGCAATTTCACATTTTTCAATATTTTTCCAAAAATATCCAAAATGTCGTCCTTGCTAAATTTTCTTACACCATCAGAATCTATAAATTTTGCTCAAAATTGGCGTGTTCAAAATTACATCTATATTGGAAGATAAAAACGACCACAAACCACAACCACAAAGGATAGATGGGGGCATATTAAATTGATCTTAACTTACCCAAAAACTCCCACTGCCACGGCAGCCTCCCGCAGTGCCCTTTCCTGTTCTGCGCTCATGTCCCTTAAGGCTTCCGGTCGGATGGTAGCGGTGTTTCTCGGTTGCCTCTCATTTTGTACAGCTGAAATTTAAAAAATAAATATATCACACATCACACTGGTTTAACTACTGTAAAAAGAAAATTTGAGAGAAGAAAGTGAAAAAAAAACCTTTATTTTAGAAATTAAAAAAAATTTGGGAACAGCAGAAAAGAAGTTGTATCGTAACTTTAACCATATCAATTAGTTTGGTCTCGTCATACAGAATTCCCCAATCTCGATGGTCTATTATAAGAGGTATATGCAAAGAAAATGGAAAAAAATGGGCGTTGCAACATTGGGGTGTGACCATAGGAGGCTATGGTCTGTATTTGTAAAATATTTGGGATGTTGCAGCGTTGCCATATTCACTCGAACCAGACACCAACTCCATTTATTTATATTAAGAATCGAAGAAAAATTTCTTGAGCTATTTTGGAAATTGTTTTTCATAAAATTCAGCAAAGAAACACCCATCATAAAAATAATGAACTGTCTAACTAATTAAATTTATATCCTACTGTGATTTGAGATTTAAGTTATCACATACAGGGCGTTTACAAAATTATGCACATTGCAAAACATTAAAAGGTCAGTTATGCACAAATTTCAAATGGAGCGGAATATTTTTTTAAATTGCATTACTTCGATTCAAAAGGCTGCGTTGTAATACTTTAATCGAGTTTCAGAATTTGGCATAAACAAAAAAAAATATATTAATATTTTAAAAAATAAAGTTGGTATCTGGTATTATAGCCCGATATGACCGCAACCCAAATGTTTAAGTACATATCTCCATTCATATAGACTATCGTGTTTGGAGTAACTAGAAAAAAAGTATTATGAGATTACCACATCAGCTAACAACATTCTAAAAAAACATAGTGCAAATATATTTTTATAAATGATGTGAAATTACGAAAATATCATATTATGCAACAAGTGCGGTAAATGGCATTTGACTCACGAGTTTATTTGACACGAGCGGAGTGCAGCGGAGCGAGTGTTTAACAAACGAGTGAGTTAAAAAGTTTACCGAACGTGTTGCAACTTTTTCTACGACCGTTAGTTTTTGGGTACATTTTCACAAAACAACAAGAATACATTCACTGACATGATCGTGAGAATTGACAAACGTCAAAATTCAAGGCGTGGAAATATCTCCGAAAACATCCGATAGCCGCCAAACCCGTGCGGTAAAATCCCGGAAATGTCCGAAGTGGCTCGGATCCGCGGGAAACGAAACTGACGTGATAAAGTGACGCTTCCGGTACGCTAGATCGGTGTGTAATTAGGTATTTTACAGACGGGAGTAGAAAAATGTATTTTATGGTTTCCCAAATTATAAAACATATTCTATTTTACAATAAATGATTTTTCTATATAAATTTATTAATGGAGGCTACAAGGGTAGCATTTATTTACTTGTAAATTAGAGATCGATAGTTTGACGACAGCCCCATCATTTTTAATTTAATATAAGGGTAAAAAAGAACGACAAGCCTTGCTGGAAAAGGTCCCGAATAAATCGTAACTTTATCGACCTTCCGAGGGCTAAAGGATGAACGTTAGGAAGCAGAGCAGGGATACGGGGCGGCGGCGGGGGCGGCGAAGTCCCGGGAGAAGTGAGAAACCCCCCGATGAACATTACCGGAGAGCTGCGAAGTTCTTGAACGATCACGCCTTCCGCATACTGAACGGCGGGTTCCGACCCACCAGCCGCCCCCCACCCGAGGGTATCTGAATATTCGGATCCCGTCGTTTCCCCTTTCGCGGAAGGGTGAGGGCTCACGTCGTCGTATTCCGAAAATTAACTTTTACATTTTAGACGATTTCCTGGGTTACAAATTGAGTGCTTAGTGATTACGGATCTTGGAAATTTCGAAGCTTTCGAGTTCCCCAATCCCTGCCTCGCCTAAATATTATGAAGAGGAATAATTGACAACCAGAGATCATTTTTCAGACACATCAGAAACAACTAGCCAAAGAAGCAACATTTTGATTGTGCTTAAAATTATGAATTTGAACTTTTTACCAAAGGAAATAGTCGATTTGGAGCTAGGAATTCAGACTGGTTGTAGATTCCATCTGACCCAAGCGTGGCATCGTCAAATTCAAAAATTGAAATTGTTAAGTTGACGAATCAAACAATGGCCAGGTTGACGAGAAAAGTGGACTCTATAATTTATAGGAAATCGACGAATTGAAGCCTTAGTATACGTTTGATCGCACTTATAATCCCGGATTATGCGGGGAGCCGGCCGGCTGAGGAGATTGGAACATTGTCACTAACATAAAAGTCTATCGAAACGACCGAAAGTGTAAGGAGAGAAATCACCAGCGACGAATTAAAACGTGCTGGTTTTGTTGTAACGTTCTACCGAGTACCAGATAGACCGATACATTTTGAATCTAAAAAACGAAAACCACATTTGCAGTTTGCACAAACGTGCTGCGAAATCAAAATAATTTAAAAGTCTCAAAGTAAATTGTAGTGGTAGCAAATTGTTTTCCCTTTTAATATTATGAGAACTAACAGTAAATTAAATTAATTAAACTAAAGGACTACATTACTGTTTTGGGCTTTTGTTTTTTTTTTTTTTTGAGCTATACTTACTAAAACCACACAATGATCAGTTAGAAAAGTTTTCTGATTACCTTTTTGAAAAATATTCGACAAACATCTCAATAATTCTACCTCGCATTTATTTCCCGAAATGTATCTGCCGACCTGAATAAAACTAACCAACTTGCGAATCCTTTCATTCTCACTTTAACGATGTATGATGGTTCTAAACACATCCGTTCATATTTATTTTCATTAACGAACTTATCAATGTGCAAATTGAAATTAATATAATATGTAATAATGTTAATACACGTCATAGATTTAGACAAAGAAAAAATATGATTTTATTGCTAACAAAATTGCAGAATATAAAAGTAACACATTATCAAAACTGGAATACGTTAAAATAGAATCATGTCATTATGCTAATAATAATTAAATAAGCAATATACAGGGTGAGTTTTAGCTTTAATTCCAGAAATTTCTGTAATAAATCATTTTGTATTTTATATATTTCATATTTAATAATTAGATCAATTTATTCTTCTAAAGAAACGGGACATGCAAACTTTGCAACTTTGTGTCAATTTAGGTTATTTTTATTCTAAATACCTGCTTGATGTGTCGATTTGGGAATCGATAATCGCCCCTAATATCGTTTTCTGGAGCTCAATTTTCATAAAACACGATGGTAAAAACCACACATGGGTATCTAGTACCGTTCCAGAGTTATAAGGTATTTTTGCAATATGTATATTTTTAAAACTTTTTTGTTATGGAAAATTTTGCATTTCTATAAAAACATTTTGACAATTTTAATCTGATAGTTAATTAATTTTTAAGTGGTACATTGTTTTTTATATATATGACGTCCTGTATATTTTTAAATCAATGAAAAGTACTCCAAAAATGTAGCATACTTGATATAGTGCTCGAAAGTTTTGGAAAAATAGGCTTTGGTGGGAGCAGCCATAATACCGGAAACAACTGCGTACTGGTAATTTTGATTATCAAACAAAACGGATGTTATAATTGGTTTTACGGAAGTCGAGAAGAATGCAGAGACAGCAAGAAATTCTGCGTAAAAAATGCCCTGTAACTCTGTAAATAGATGTCCACGTGCCTGTTTTATTATTATATTTTTAATAAAAATCGATCTCCAGATACCTAAATTAGTTTTCGTCTATCTTTTACAGTTTCCTTTTAGATTTGTTCAATTTGGTCTACTCTCTACAAGGTTTTAATTTTTATTTTTATTTGTCGAATGGAACTGCAAAAAAAAACATTATAATTGCTTCTTAATCGTGGAGCTTTTCTGATAATCCTCTGACGTATGGGATGCTTGGAATAAAAAATTCTCTCTTCTGGCTAAGCTAATTGTTTTTTCTTCTCTATAGCTGGACGTTTTTAATGAGGTGTTTCATCACACATCATTCTAGATATGTTTGAGTTCTTTCTGATAATCTTTTCCTGGAAGTGACCTAATTATACGTCGTTTGGTCATTTGGTCAAACCATCTGTCAGTGGCCATGTTGATTGTTCAATGCCGCGAAGTGATTGGTTAAAAGATTTTAAATCTCGCGCATGAGCATGTTGAATATACCTGTTAAAAAAAATTATAATTGCTTCATTAGTTTCTGTATTGTTGGCATTTGACAGGGCCTCTCTCTAGATGGAAGACGATAGAGAAAATGTTGAAGAATGACTGTAATCGCATAGTATTTAAATTTTCGCAGGCATAGGAATCAAAAAAGGACATAAAGGATATCAAAAATCCTTTATAATAATACAAAATATGTGATTCGAAGAAAACTGTGTTTTATTTTATAAAAGAAGTAATCATCCTAGACTGAATTTGCAGTTATAAAATGTTTATAATTTTTATAATTCGCAAATGTTGTTTTATGTATTTAAAAATTATATATTATTGGCGCCATTTTGATTAATTATTTTTTTATATATGATCTATGCCAAATTACCTATGTGAGGTTCTATTAAAAATTCCAGTTGGTTTCCGGTGAGTCCAACAATGATATCTGCGTTCTTGAATACATGTTCTTTTGTAAACTCTTCAGAGATAATTTAACTACAGAACGCCTTACGGGGTGGATAGGCGGGCAAATGCGAAACTCATAATTATATCCTGAGGGGGTTAAACGCATCGGCGCGGACACAATTCCGGTTCACCCTTTCGGCCCTTTTTCCGTAAAAATTGCGGCGAAAACGTCTAGTGACATCGCACGACGGGGATGTTCGTTTAAGTGGCGAACTACCCCTTTGGCGGCCTCGACCGCCACGTGTCAACCGTATGCAAAACAAATGAGCGTCACGGTTAAACAAGGTGCCGCCGTCGCGTCACTTTTGAGTCGTCTTCGTCCGTGAACGAGAGGGCGTGGTTTGGCGTGGGTGGGGGGATTTTAAACCGCTTTTAAAAAGCGAGCCTCAACTAAACGTTTGGATTTCCGCACGAATTCACTCCCCTTTAAAACGTTATTTACGAACGATTTTAATATTAAAAAAAATTATAATAGTGTTTGCGCAATTTTGTATTTTTTTATTACCAGGAAGTACTGTTTCCACACACATGTTAAAATTTTGTCATACGGCAAGTAAGATATATTTACGATGTCGCAAAAACCAATCCAAAACTAAACTAGCCAAAGTATGTGTACATAAAAGTCTCTGAAAAACTCTTTTATGAACGAAGATAATACACACCAACATATTATGAATAAACTCAACATGCCTCATACAAATGTCGGTGATTTCGGACAATTGACAATTGAAACTCATTGCGACGTTGCTCCTAGAGGCCGCTAGTTTCACAGTATTATTTAATCTGAAAGAACGTTCAATTTTTCATAGAAAAGATGCTTTTGTTTAGGTCGCCTACTTAGACTTAAAAAAACTAGTATTTAACATATAACAATTTTGCTAATAGAAATAAATCCACATCACCTTGTATTTCTGGCGCAACGTTTAGAAAGAATAGAGAACTCCAGGAGATTGCTCATTCCTTATCTATCACTATATAAATTTAATAATAAATGCTCCTCGAAGCATGTTTTATTTTAAATTAATATCACACTAATTCTAACAGTTTGTTAGTAGATCTGCGTGCGTAATATGCAAGTATGCAAGAATATGTAGAGTAGATTAATTCTAACTACAATTGCCTGCAACTAACCGATATTGAGCTGTTCTCACTGACTGAATTTCAGGCATGAAGTTGCAGGGACGTGGTAATTTTCGTACAGTATTTTTTTTTTTATTCCAACTGAAAATTTACATTGGTAGGAGTGAGGTTGGTGATATCTCGTAACTTGAGAAGTTATTATTAAGAGGTTGTCACTACAATCTTGTTTTTATTTGCTGAGAAACTAAACGTTAAATATTCATGCAGCCAATTGTAGCAACTAGAGAAGCCTGAAAGTTATAGCAGTTGCAGCAAATGAAGACAGTGATAGAAGATAGTGATAAATACCAATCGAGTTAAAGCGACCATGGTTTGATCTTGCTTTCTCTGTGTGACGCCACTAGTAGGGGCCGTCGTACAGCATTGTTTTTAACCGGTAACAACTCAAGTCGGGAGCTCTTTTGTTCTGACGATCGAAATAGCCGTGAAGTTGCGTTAAACCTTAAAAGTAGAGTATGAAAGTAGAAAGCCTAATAGTTACAACTGATTGTTCTAAAGCGTCGACCTCAACTGCGGCTTCATTTATTTTTTCAAGAACGCGATCCAAGAAAATAAACATGTTCAAAATAACATATAACTATATAAAAGTATATTAAACTACATATCTATGGAGGGGTTAAAGTTTTGATCCTTTAGGCGTTTTCAATTGACTTCAATGTATATCAATGTCGTTAAAACTGATAGGATTTCCAATGTTTTATTTTAAATTATTTCTCAACTTTTCGGTTGGTATGTATCTCAAGTCGTTATCAAGAGAATAATGATAAAATTCTTAAAACCTGGTTGCCTGTAACTTGTGATATCCATAGCCAGTTCATCTCAATTGATGAATTGCTGAAGACCTTTTTCCTTCCCTAGATAAAAACTGCTTCCTTGAATTTCTTCTTGCCCCAGTTAATTATTGTTGATTCTCACCAGAGGATTCAGTATTCTTTAAATCAAGTTTGACATGCATATACGTAGTTGGCTTTCGGCTCAGATGGTTTTGTGTTAGTGAGTGCGCAGCAGAGTGTAACGTTAACTCTGGAAACTGTTTTAATTATTGGCTGGCGATGCGTTTGAGCTTTTCTGATAATCCTCTGGCCTATGGGATGCTGAGATTTTTTCTCTCTTTTAGCTCCTTTTGAATGAGGTGTTTCGATCAATCTTGATATGTTTGAGTTCTTTCTGGTAACTTGTGTTGTGCTGTATAGCCTTCGGACCCTTTCCTAAGTACACCTTGTATGAATGATTAAAAGCAAATTTAATGTATTGTCCAGTGTTATTGGGTTATCTCGTGGCTGTTTTGATAGTTTCTTCTTTAAGCCCGTTGATGAAAATATTGGCGATGACGGAAGACAATGGTGATCCCATGGATAGAGCGTGCACTTGTGTTGTCTATTTGACAATGAGAATTATTTCCTTGACCGGCTAGTTCGGGTTTACTCATTCTTATTCTTACGACGCCGTCTCCCTACTAAGGTTGACGATGAAAATGCCTATTTTGGCACCGCAGCTCTGAAAATCTGTATAGACGTCTATTCGAGTCATCTGCGCAAGTCTCTCGGCCATGGATTTTGTTTGCGGCCGACCTTCGATCTTCTCTTGTATTATCAGGTGGAGAATCTCATATCGCTCGCCGTTCATGATGTCCCAGGTACTGCAACTTTCTCTACTTACTTAATCGCGAGGAGTTCTTTATGTTTATGTATTTGCTGCAGGGCCTCTAGGTTTGTCTTATGATATAACAGCGAAGTATTCTAGTCCGGAGTTTTAGGCTGAGGTTTCGGTTTGCCAGAAGTGTCCTGATGCTGTTCAGAGTTTTCCGCGCTTGCTCAATTCTTGACATGATTTCGAGTTTTGGGTTGCATCATTGGTTCACGAACGGACCCAGATATCTTGTATCTTGTTCCATGATCTCTGCATGGGGCCTAAGGGTGGCGGTTCTTTGGGCTTTGAGAATATCAATAGTTTGGTTTTGAAAGTATTAATTTGCTGCTCACTATATTCCATAATATGGTCCTTACGAGATGGAAGTTCTGGCAGACTACTGGCTATTACCACCGTATCATCTGCGTAGCGAAGATTATTTATAATGTTTCCATTGATCTTAATGCCTGCAGTTATGTACTTATGAGCTTCGTTGAATATTGCCTCAGAGTAGGCAACAGTAGGTAAGACAGGTAAACAGTAGGGGCGAAAATACACATGTTGTCTGTGCCTTTCGATTTTGAATGTTAATGTTTGGTGCCAGTAAAGTCCAGTTATGATCTTTAGATCTTGTGCGCCGATCCCGGTTGATTTTGGGACGCTGATTATTTTTTTGATGTGACACACAGTCAAAAGCACATTCGGAGGGAAAACAGCCTCTCTAGTTCCCTTTCCAAAGCCAAATTACGAACTGTCAACCAGATGCTCACACTTTATTCATATACGTGAATGAATGATTCGCAGGAATATCTTCAAGCCGTGAGACATGAAACTAATCACGCGTTATTCGTCATATTGTGATGCATTTTTTTTCTTTTGCAGATTGACAAAAGTGGATCTCAGTCCGATGGAATTTTTCCGATTCCGTACATTCGGTTGAATATTGGGCAGCTGAGAGTTTAAAGGTTTCCGCGTGCACGTTGTCGGGACTTTCTTTGAAGTTTAATTGAATGATTAAACTCTTGAATGGTAATTGCAGGACCTGTTTAATGCGTCTTGATCTGGGGGCGAGTCTGGTCTCATGTCATTAAAAAGATTTTCGGTGTATCCTTTCCATCGTTTTAGTTTCTCACCAAGTAATATAACTCTTTCGTTGCTTACCGCTCTGCCGCTTACCGGTAAGCTCCTTGATATTCTTTTGTAAGCTAAAGAAATCGTGTTTCTTCTATTTTCAATTTGATCAGTCTTTTGTTTGTGGTGTTATTCATTACCCAATATAAAACAGGCGGACCAACCTTAGAGGATTGGCCCTTGCAGGTTCAGGTTTTTCCGCCAACTTCCTGGAAAATCTACTAGTCCTGGATTGTCCTGGATTTTTCAATATTTTAATTTTTTTCAATTTTATCTATCAACTGTTTCCCGCTTTTAAGTTCTACTTTTAGCTGCTGCATAATAATTAAAACCTTTTCAAAAATTCGGAAACAGAAGATTGGCTATTATTTTGTATATTGCTGCCGCACTTATCCATAACACAAGTTTATTTATGCAAGGTAAGAAAATATCAGCAGTAGAATGCTTCATTCCACTCATTCTAAAAAATATGCTCCAGACAGATGAATTAAGTACAAATCGTAATTCCATAGAAACAACTATAGTCGAGTTTTACTTGACAATCGAGAAATACCTCCTACAATGGGGAACTCCACCTTCTCAAATATTGGATACATTTAAATGGGTTTTACTTCATAACCCGCCACATTACTCAGAAATTCAACCCGCAATAAAAACTATTTTATTGTATAATGAAGATGAAGTACTTGACGAAATATCTTTTGGAGTGTTTGTGTCCGATGGGTTGAAGTTTTTGATAATTGTACAAAAAAGCAACTGTGGTTCAATAGGATGTTATGCAACGAGTGCGGTAAACTCAATTTGACTCACGAGCAGAGCGCAGCGAAGCGAGCGTTTATTAAACGAGTAACTTTAAAAGTTTACCGAACGTGCTGCATATTGTGCCTACCCGGTACTAATGCAGTGAAAGGAAGAGTGTTTTCAATTATAAACAACCTTTGGAGCAGCGAAAAGTCAACTTCACATGAGAACTTTGAAATCAAAATTTAAGTTCATTGGAGTTTTACAAATTGCTTTTAAAAAAATCATATTGCTCTAAAAGGTGATCAAAATAGGTATCAGTATAAGTATTCTTTTAAATTCATTAAATTTTAGATCGTATATATTTTCAATATCTATAAGATAATTAGTATATTATGCAACAAGTGTTGTAAACGGCATTTGATAAAGAGTTTACCAAATGTGTTGCATACTATAATTTTTCTACGACCATCACGAAAAATTAATATCAGATTATCGGATTAAGCCTATTCGTTTATCGTTCGGATCGGTCCTGCTATTGTTGTTTCTTTTTAACTATGTACGTTAGACGGAGAGAGATGTATTATTAGATGTCATATAAACAACGGAATAGTTTATTTAAAGAAAAAGGCTGTAATTGGAAGAACAATCATCCAAGGAATACAGCTTTTACGAGGATTACATTTTTAAGATCGTATAAACACGAACAAGCAGGTCCTAACCTTCAATTTGGTTTTGTTTGTACTGATGAGACATGGTCTTGGCAAGATAATATAAAAACTGTAAAAACCCCTAAAGTTCATGAGACCGTAAAATTTCTGTGGGAAACTTAAATTATAAATGTCACTTTACTTAACCGACTAGTCTACTAGATTTTATTTATTTATTTTTTTTTAATTTTTAATTTTTGAAAAACAACATTCACTGACATGACAGTCCGAATTGACAAACTTCAAAATTCAAACTGCCGATAAAATCTGCGAAAATAACCGATTGCTTACAAACCCGCGGTAAAATCCTAGAAATTTCCGAAGTGACTGGAATCCGTGGAAAACGAAACTGACTGGTTTTAGCACTCTAGATCGGTAAATAGGCATTTTACAGACGGGAGTAGAAAAAAGTTTTTTTTGTACACAAAGACATTATGTGTTTTTTTTCTAACAAATTTAAAAACGCATATATTTCATTTTTATCCAGCGGCGCGACCACCACTTCGCGACGAAAGCCGCGAAGAAGCACGTGTCGTCATTTAAAGTTAAATTCACACAAACGAGAGAGCGCCATCTTCCCTCACCACGCCACCCCGTGTAATCATAATAAATTTCAGGGCTGTCGTATTACGACGTCAATCAACGTCACCTGCTGGCGGGCACTTAAAGCTAAAAAGGCAATACGGCGGCGGCGGCGGTGTTACACATCCGTCCGTTTCCGCAGCAATCAAACTTGGCAACAGGGGGAACGAGAGGCACAGTGTATATAAAGAAAGACAGAGAGGTCGCGCGCGCGCGATAGAGAGAGAAGGACGGACGAAATCCGCGGAGCAGGCGTTTGTTGTAACAAACAGCTATAGCCGGGGATTTAAGAGACGCTGATTAATGGGATTCAAAGCCGGTTAATTCCCACCAAACGCTCTGCCAAAACTCCCGGGATAAGGCGGTTAGGACGTGACGCGACGCTTAGGGGAACGCGGAGTCACGGTCCCAGTCTGCCCTGGAAAAGGTTAAAATCGCATGCGTACTGCTCGCCTGTAATTTACAATCTTGAATAGATGGTCGTGGAACGGTCATGGAGTGGCGGGAATCGTTTTTGATGCTCTCTTCTTCAGCGTTTTGTTCGCGCGCGGGTGGGGGATTACGCGCCGGATTAATCCGGAGCTTTTTTTTTCTTCCTCCGGCAGGTTCCATTTGTATCCCCAATTTTAGGGGCGACGAAATTGCGATTCATAGTGAAGGTAATGATTTTTCGCGCATGCCTCTACATTTCAATTACTAACCTGCACTTTGCGCTATTTTCCTTCTAAAAGTTAACTCGTTTTCCCAGAACATTTAACAAGGTCGAAGTATATTTTGAGAACATCCTGCAGTAAAAATGCCGTATCCAAAATTATTATCAATCTGTCAGCGGTCATATTAGTTGTTGAATGCTTTAAAAACGAGATTTTAAATCTCGCGCATGCGCATATTGAATAAACCTTCTTGAAATGTTTTTCATAATTGCTTCATTACTTCCTGCATTAGCGGCATAGCCAGGGCGTTTATATCTAGTAACTACACCTATCGGAGTAGAGCAACAAAGTTCATTTTTATCTATGATTGAATGAAATATTGGGTTGTGATTTTTGGCAAAGTTTAATAAAAGACTCTCCATACACTGAAAGTGATATTTCACAAAGTTTTGGTGTAGTTTTAATCAGTTTAAGAATAGCAAATAATGATGATTATAAAAATTGACAAGAATGGGGCGACAAGAGTAGAGCAACAAATTGTATGCAACAGTATTTTATTTTATTTTTTATTTTCTGTCAACAAAAAATATTTTACACATTTAAGAACATTAACAATTGTAATTGACATTAGTAATTGATCAACATCTGAATGACATTTTCGAGAAGACTTGTCCAATCTACGAGGTGTGTTCAAAAAGTATCGCGAATTCCGTGTTTTTTCAAAAATTATTTATTTATTCATGAATATCTATTTTGTCCCCTTCAAAGTAATCCCCATGAGATATTATACACTTGTGCCAACGGTTTTTCCAATCTTCGAAGCACTTCAAAAAATCATTTTTTTTTATCTTCTTCAGCTCCTCCTTCGATGCCGTCTTTATCTCGTCAAGAGAAGCGTAACGTCGTCCTTTCATGGGCCTCTTCAGTTTAGGGAACAAGAAGAAGTCACAGGGGGCCAGATCTGGGGAATACGGTGGCTGCGGCATCATTAGTGTGTTGTTTTTGGCCAAAAAGTCGCGCACAAGCAACGATGTGTGAGCAGGGGCGTTATCGTGGTGCAAAAGCCAATTTTTGTTCTTCCACAAATCCGGCCGTTTCTGGCGGATTGCTTCGCTCAAATTGCGCATAACTTGCAGGTAATATTCCTTATTGACCGTTATTCCCTGTGGCAAGAACCACGCCCCTGCAATCGAAAAAAACTGTCAGCAAAACTTTCACATTCGACCGAACTTGGAGCGCTTTTTTCGGTCTTGGTTCGTGCGGCAGCTTCCATTGAGATGATTGAGCTTTGGTTTCCACGTCATAACCATAAACCCACGATTCGTCACCAGTTATGACCCTCTGGAGCAAATTTGGGTCGTCGCGGACAGAGTTTAACATCTCATTAGCAATGTTCATGCGATGCCGTTTTTGGTCACAATTGAGCAATTTTGGTACGAATTTCGCGGCGACCCGTCAAATCGAATGGCACGAGCGAATCGATATGTTTAGGTCCTCAGCAACTTCTCTAACGGTGATTCGACGATTGGCCAATACCATTTTCTCCACTTCATTAATTTTTTCGTCTGTTGTTGAAGTGCTCGGGCGTCCGGCACGCTCTTTGTCGTTCACATCTTCTCGGCCTTCTGAGAACATTTTGTACCACCGATAAACGTTGCTTCGGTTCAAGGTAGCTTCTCCGTATGTCACAGTGAACATTCGGAATGCTTCCGCGCACTTAATTTCGTTTTTCACACAAAATTTGATACAGGTTCTTTGATCCATTTTTTTGAATAGGTAAAAATCGAAGACGATCCAAAACACGTGCAAGCAAAGCAGCTGTCAACAATTAAATGAACATTCAAAATGACCGAGCTTGTCGGCATAAATGAGAGACATGAGTACCAACATAACGCCACAAAAAAATCAAATTCGAATATACGTAACCCGCGAAAATTCAAAATTCGCGATACTTTTTGAACACACCTCGTATTTCTCTCAGAGATTTTCAATGAGGTTAATGGGATTGTACTTGCCACTGCAAAACTCCAATGTTTATCATTAATAATGTGTAGAGAGAGAAACAACCCCATACACTACCTTTACCATCTGAATTGTAGGTGTTAAGTATTTAGCATTAAACCTTGTATGGTTGCCTCAGACGTCTCATTCTATTTTGTAGCGCGTTTCATCACTTTTTAACCAGCACAGCTTAAATGCCGACGTGCAAATGCCAATCTTGCTGCTCTTTTTCTTCCTGAAACTAATTACTTTTTAGATGGACGTCTACTAAATAACTTTGCATCTACTAAACTTCTTTGTACTATTCGTAATTTTTTGGAATTTCAGGAATTTGTGTTCGAAATTCGGAGGATCATTTTGAGCAATTCTTTCGATGTGTCTGTTGCTCATTACTGTTGCTTTCTTTGGCCTTACCGATTTTGGCAACTTCTCTAAATGTTACCTGTCATTATACGATGACATTATTTTAGATACACTGTACCGAGGTAATACAAACTGTATTGAAAAAATCAGCTTATTTGTTCTGTTCTGAAGACTTTTGAAATTGGAATTCCTCTTAGCATGGCTAATCCAGCACAGAAATGTAAAAAAAAACATACAATAAACTTCACACAATTACTTTGGCCATTTCTTTCGCTAAAACCCTTCTTGTGGACAAATTATATGATTGTTGCTCTACTTTTGATCCGTTACTATTAAGCATTTAAAACTAAATAAAAGTCACTTGTTTTGTTAATGAAAATTCTTGATATTGTATCGTATATTGCAAGTATAATTGTCAAATCGCTATATCTCACTCACTCCATCTCTCTCACTCTATCTCTCACACTCACCTATATCAGAAAAAAAGAAATTTATTTGGCCCACCCCTGCCTAGTCACTCAAGTAAGAATAATTTTTTTGTTAACGGCTTTACTCAATAACAATAGGTAATAGAATCGTTAAAGTTTTATTGGGGAGGGTCCGTCGAAAGCCAACACGATAAAGATTGACTAACCAAATTGTTATTTGATACAGGCGTAGATATCTATTCCAAATACGACCTATTTTTGAAAAATCGCTAGATCTATAATTGAAGCAGGATGGTATGAAAAGCATTTTTTCCATGTTGTACAGGGCGTGACATTTATTTGCAATAAATTGAAAATTGACTCCCTTTTGGAATGAAAATCACGGATAAATGAAACACTGCTTTTCAATTATCAGTTTATTTATCTACTAGAAAGTTGATCGGGTCGAAAAAGTCATATAATATTTATTATCTAGAGCAAAATTTGTTGAGAATTTGAGAGGAAATGTTTTCTCGAAAACCCGCTGGGAAAAATTCTTGAACCAGGAAATGCGGAATCTCTGGAACTTATTTTTATGTCAAGCATTTTTCGATCATGTATATGTCATCATCATGTATGTCGGTGCCTTTTCTGAAGGTAAATTATTAGCCCTAAATGCAAAACCAAAAATAGACCAATTTAGCTACAATTTTGATATTTACCGTTTTCGCCTATAAGTTGAAAATCGCTATTGCTGATACAAATTTTTATATTTACCACAGTTTTGACATGACTTTGAGTGATAGATAGCATTAACTTCATGGGTTAGTAGGCAAATATTTTTTTCATAGCTGGTATATACGCGCACTCCTCAAATAAGGATAACAATATAAATTAAACGTGTCTAATCTGGAATTAATTAATTTTCATAGGCTCGCTCATAGAAATGTTATGTTTACGAAAACAGACGCCCCTGTAACTATAATTTCAAAAATAGAAAATAGAAATCGCGTCGCGTCTACGAAGGCGTAAAATAACAATAAACGGATGCAAATCGGGGCACAAGCAGGAACGATGACACGGCGAGTTGCAAATCTCAAAGGCACCACGACACAAACCGTCGAAACGTTCAATTATTATCGTTCATTACGTTAACGGCCCGGTATCGTCAGAGCAGCGCCACCTCGGGGCTATTTCATTTCCGCGCGCTAGTCAAACGAAGCCAATCAACGAAAACCCACGAGATAAATCCTTTGTCACCCGCCGAAATTTGCGGTTTATAATGAGGGAGAAGGGGGGTGGCTTACCGTCTTTGTTCATGCCCATGGCCAGGCATTTTTTAAGCCTGCACGCCTGGCACTGGTTTCGGTGTGCTTTGTCGACTATGCAACGTCCGGTGCCCGCCTGACATCTGAAAATAAAGTTAAGAGTTTTATTTATTTACTGCTCAAACTTATTTGGGAGGTTTGGGTTGTTCCTAACAATTTGGCAAGTGTCAGAGCAGTTTCAGTTTTTTTTTTTTGCGTTTTGAGGTCTTATTATGGTAAATTAACGACTCCGATTTGAAAATTTGAAAAGAATGTGCCCCGCTGCAATGTAACCCATTCTACATTTATGTCTACTGTTTTTACATCCATCAGAAATAGGTTTCGGATTTCTCTTAAAGTCGACGTGTGCACAAGAACACTTTGAAAGTTCCAAGAAAGGATTTTGCTGTGGAAACAAACCTATTTCACCTATATTTCATATGAATTTATGGATTATTCCAATGAGCAATTAAAAAAGAATAAAATCGGGCAAGTGATGAAAGTGATAGAAAATATTTTTTTGCATAACAACAATGGAATAGATAATTTACGCATACTGAAACATAATATAATATAATAACATACACTCTATATATAATTCTTAAATTTATATCTGAATGAAAAATAACTTTTTTCGTGGAGGATTGAATCTGTATACCTCAGAACTGAATTTTTGGGAGTCACATATGAGAAAGAGCGTTGAAAAAGAGTCGTTTTGTGACCCGGTACCCAGATAGCACACAATATCCCCAGTCTATCCGGTCAATGTCCCATTTAAGTCGCATGTCCCGGGATATGTGGAGGATACTCTTAGGATATGCGTTAGCATTTATACTAAGGATATACTGTAAAATACACCCCAGGGATAGCCTCTGAATGGATAGCTTGCGGATTTACTGTACACGATATACCACGGGTATCTTCTAAATAGACAGCCTGAGGATTTCCCCTTGCGGCTTAATGGGAACATTAGAATAGAAATAAGGGAAAAAGGTGAAAAAGGGTAAAACAAAATGAAACCTAAAATGTTATATTTTGAACACCTGAAAAGGAAAATACTTAGTTTTTTTATTTTTGTAGTGTGAAATCAAATCGTTACAATCAACTTGTTTTTATTATTTTTGGACACGAACGAGACAAGAAATGCTATTTTAATATAAATACCACAGAAAATACGGATTCACCTAAGTAAAAAAATTACAAAAACTTAAAAATAATATATTTGTTTATATAAGATCCTATTTGACAACACTGTTCGGCTGCAACCAATGACGCAACTACTCGCGGTCGTGCCGGGCCGGACTCGCTCGAGTCTCGTCCGCTTCTCCTCCGTCTCGTCGTCCGCCATCTTTTCAGCCTTGTTTTTGTTGGCGGTGTAAGGTATACGGCGACTTGGCATCTATTTCGAGTATTTTGTATGCTATGGTTACTGTTTTCAGTGCTTTCATTTCAGTTATTTTTTTGTAGTATCATTTTTACTGAAGAACGAATAATTAATGTAAGTAAAGCTTTATGGTAATATACAATATAAGATTTCATAAATTCTAAGCTGAACGAACATCATGCTTTGTTATTTATTATTTTGCTAGGTCAATGAGATAGCAAGATCAGGCGGTGGCAGCAGTTATGAGTTTGCAAAATAAGTTATGACCCCGCTGATGTCAAAGGAACTTGCAATGAAATTTAATTGGTTGGGCATGAAGAAAAAGGAAAAAAATTAAAATTAAAATTGAAAAAAAAGACGTAAATGTATTATAAATATAGTGTAAGGATTATAATTTAATTAAAGATATATAAGGTGATTGCTTAGTTAATACTTTTTTGAGGAGTGATTGCTGGACCGAGTCAACATAAAACTGGCTTTTTTGTAACGTATATACCTATATTATACTTTTTTTGATTCTAGACTTCTAATCGTATCTTAATGCTTAGTTTTTGAAAACAAAAATAAAATCCACTTTCTCTTTATGTTTTTTGAGCAGTTTAATTTAGGCATACAAAACTAAACTATTTTTTTAACTAAGCAAGCAATGTTAGAGAAAATCACCCAGAACAAAATTATATTTTTAATTATATACTACAGTTAGTATATTTTTTTCTTAAAATGGATGCAAGAATCACCCCCCCCCCTCAAAAAAAAACAAAGTATTAATTTTAGGAATCACCCTTCATAAAGTACAATTTTCACATTAAAATAGTTCTTTGGTTAATTCTTGAAAACGTTTTTCCTATTTTTTAAGGCTATTTTTCATGGTGAGAGTAGATACCATCACGAGCAAAAAAAACTAGGAAAATTTTTGACAAAAAATATTGCTTTAAAATAGGCCTTTACTGTCAAATTGAAAAGTCATATTTAAAAATATAAAATATACTAAAATATTTTCAGATGCGGATAAGAAGGCAAACACATCACAAACATCAAAAAAATGTGACAATTCAATAGCTGCTTGGCTGAAAAGAGCTACTGTCATCAAATAATGACAGAAAACCTGTCAAATATTAGTTATTCTTTTAGAGCTTAGTTCAAGATAGTATCTTGCTTTATTTTTAAGATATTTTAGATATTTTTATAATTTATACCTATAATTTTTTCATATCTACAATAGAAAAAAAGCAGATGTGTATAAAACGTGTTTTATTAATGGTATTAATCGGCAGTCCTTGACTTTTACCATCAAAAGCAAAATTAAAGATTAAATATTAATAGGAAAAAACTTATGCATTTCAAATATTGCCTGCTATTCCAGTGATGACTTGACCAACCATACCCAATAGGTTAATTCCATCACAAGCGCGTACCAAATAATGGGATAGAATTTTTGTAGTCGTACAACCAACTGGACTACTGGACATTACCTTTCCAGTTATTCTCATAGACTGTTGGAAATAACCTAATAATTATGTAAGGTCCACTGGTATATCTAGATAAGATCCTATATACCCTCACAGTCGGATATAGAAACAAGGTCTCAACTAGTATAACTGGATATCCTTAGTATGACCTAACAAACACCCTACGGACATACGTATCTGATATACTGTGGACGTTCCGATTAGTAACACAGTATAACCTTGAGACGTCTTAAGGATGTCCCTTAGCTGAAACAGGATATAGGCGACGTCCCGTCAGATATCCCGAGGATGTATTACGGACGTCCTTGTGCTATTTGGGTAATGATCGGGAGAACGCAATATAAGTGTGTGACTGAAAAACAAGCTTAATGTCGTTTCAGTCTGTTTTATACATATAGTAAGCCACCCAAAATTACGTATATATATATCGTATAAGTATATAAAAATATAATAATAATAAAGTATGTAATAATAATAATTGTCATCTTAAAATTTTAAACCCATTTGCTGCAAAACTTGCTGTATACTTTCTGCTAAGATTGCTTAGCTTGCCACCAATAAGATATGACTTTTTTTAACTCAGTGTATAGTCAGACAAGAGCCTAATAACCAATTGAAACCCGTATTTCAATCAGAATCTAAAATATGAATAAAAGCACGTAAATCTCAAACAAAAGAAAAATTTTCGGTTGTTATTAATGTATAGATGTCTCTAATTTACCAAATAAATAGCGAATTTATTATTTTATAACCTGACATTACTAAATTATAACAAACCCGTTTTAAATTATTTGATTATGACTTTGGTTAACATTTAAGTTGGAAAAATAAAAACAACATTAAAATCTGTTAATATTGATGACTAATTGAAGATGCAAATGCAATGCAATGCAAAGATACTTATTATAAAAAGATTTAAGTTTTATTTCACATACGAAATCAAGTGAAATTTTTGTTTCCTAATTGAATGTCAATAATATTAAAAAGAAAACGTCATATGTCCTAAACGCTTGACTTTTGAGGTACAGGATGGTAAAGCTTTGAAAAATAAAATGTGCTTTTTTAATATCTGTAATACTTCACATATTTTAACCTCTTCATGGTCATAACAATATCGTTAATATGGCAGTATGCATAGAAACTAGTTTTTATTTTTAAGTAAAAATCGTGTGAGGAACTAAAAAAAATCTGCTCTATTTTAAAAATAAAACGTCATATGTCCTAAACGCTTAACTTTTGAGATACAGGGTGGTAAAGTTTGGAAAAATAAAATATACTTTTTTAATATCTGTAATACTTCACATATTTTAATGGAATTTGGCACACAGTACCGTAGTAAATATCAAGAAGCATTATTTAGTGCAACACATTTTTTTAAAAATACACTAGTGGCGTTCGTCGGCAATTTCACCTGTCTATTTTGGCAGACATTGATGGTACGCCACTGATTTCTCTTAAAATCAATTCAGTCCGCTGTACGGTTTTCGCTTTAAAAAATAAAAACCTCTTCTTGGTCATAACGATATCGTTAATATGACAGTATGCACAGAAACTAATTTTTATTTTTAAGTGAAAATCGTGTGAGGAACTAAAAAAAATCGGCTCTATGAACAATTAATATTTTGTTTAATTAGGTCGCCACTGCACTGGTTAAATCGAGAAATTTTTAGTGTGAAAAATAGTTTTTAGTGTCCTTCAGGAAAACCATATTAGTAGACTGTTATTTTTATTTTTACAGTTTTAATGAAATACCATAACATTCTAACAACAAGATAAATAATAAATTACTTTTATTGGGCGATAATTATGGCCATTTTGCCTTTCTGGCAAGAAAAAGGGTCCAGTTAAGTAATTTCCAACAATTCCAATATTTACCGAAAATTGTTCTTGATGTTTAAGTTTTACAACTGCATGGAGGTTTTCATGGGCTCAAATATGGTTATCGTGAAAAAATTTCTGATTGAATTTCTAGGAAAGTTAGCTTCACCTGTAAATCGAATTTCTTGGTCAAACAAGGAATAATGCGCAACTTTGTGCAAAACCCATTGACAAAAATTAACACGCAAGGGAAAATCTCTAGGAAGTAACGCTCGGACTCGTTGAATTTGATATGGGAAGAATAGTAAAAAAAAAAATAGTAAAAATACTAAGTTCAGGATTTTCATCAATAGAATTTAAAACTGCTTCCTCAATTTCTGGAGTTCTTACAGTCCGATGGCCCCTTTTTAAATGATTATTTGTCCTCAAAGTA